TAGGTAATAATTACAACTGTAATAAATGCATTCACATGACTTGCGCCAAGAAAAGAAAAGCGCAGAGTAAAAGCATTCTAAAAATTCTTTTTTTTCACTACGATTTATAGGTGTTAGTACATCAATAAGGGTTTGGCAAGAATCATAAGTGGGTATACTTGTTTACAATAAATGCTCTCAATAGCATTAATTAGAACAAAAATTTTAAGATAAATACCTTGTTCCTAAATAACACTTGTTTCTTTCTATCCACATGAAACAACCCCTCACTTAATTTCCGCTATTTCCAACTTCCCCTCTAAGAATAAGATCAACAACGATAAGAAAAAAGCATTGGGGATTACGTAATATGATGTCACTATTTGATTAAAATTGCTGCCACTGAGTTTTTAATAAACAGAAAAATGCATATTCGCACTTATGCACTTTCTCAGGCGTACTTTCACGTTTATTAATGACGTTTCAATATGAAGAGATTTCAAAAAAAAGCATGAAATAAAAAATAAATAAAATCCATATTTTCCAACGAATCAGCTCAACAACACCAGTGCTAAATAATTTAACTACAAAAATAAACACTTAATGTTTTGACTTACAGGATGTAACTGTGAGGCAGGTGCACTTTCAGGAGATAAAATCAAGTGACGCAAGACACCCTGAAGTAAAATTAACTACGATACACATCCGGTTCTTGTTTCATTGTTTCATGTAACAGTCAAAGTTTTTATAATCATTATTATATCCAATTAAAATAAAATACCAAAAAATGAATAAGAGAAAATAAAAAAAAAACAAAGATGACAACAAAGACAACAAAAAAAAAAAACTAGTGCCACTTTAGTAACCCAAATTTTCTTAAAGAAATTCTGAAGAAACAACACATACATATATAAATGTTTTAAACTAAAACCATGAGAAGATATGAGAAGAGAGGAAAACTAAAAAAACTGATGTAGAGAGCTTAGTGACGTAGTTTCTCGCTCGACACCCGAACCCTTCTATGCCACTAAGTAATACTATACCAGAATATATATATATATATATATATATATATATATATA